AGGGGCGGCCCGGTGGGCAGCGATGCCGGGAAAGCCGCCGAGTGCGGCGCAGGCAGCGGGGGCAGTGGAGGCATCGGGAAGGGGCCAGTGATCTGCAGCGCCGTATGGTGAGAGCGAGGGGCCGAGGGCATGTGGCTGGGGGCAGAAGGGAGACAGGAGGGTTGGGATGAGGTGGGCAGGGGCTGCTGTGGCGGTGCTGGGGTCCCCGGGTTGGTGCTGATGAGGGATGCTGGGGGACAGGTTTGGGGTCCGTGGGCCACCATACAGCAGTGGGGCCCAAGGGAGGAGACAAGGGACTGCCGGGAACCGTGCCGTGTGGGGGGCACAAGGAGCCCTTGCTCCCGGCAGCAAGGGGAAGACCCAGGTGTCCAGGCTCCCTGCCCTCTCCCCAGGGACGCTGGGGCTCCGGTTTGATGCTGGGCTGGGGTGAAGCGGAGCTGGGGTGACGTGGAGTTCCTCTCCCTCATCACCCGGAGCGCGAGGGGCTGGGAGGGGGCTGGGATCCCTCTGACATCCCCGTCCCCGCAGCGCTAACCCTTACGCGGGGCTGGTGAACCACCTGCGGGCAGCCTGGCTCTCGGGGAAGACGCGGCCCATAGAGTACCGCGTGGCCCAGCTGGAGGCCCTGGGTCGCTTCTTGGACGAGAAGAAGGAGGACATCCTGGAGGCCACCGCCTTGGACATGGGGAAGGTAAGAGGGGACCGGGTGCTGGCCACCGGGGTCACATCTTCGGGGCTCTGCATACCCCCCCTGTCTGGGTCTTGCGTCCTCCTGGGTGCAGGTGTGGGGCCCCGGGCATGGGGGGTCCCCTCATCGGGGTCCTGCATCTCCCTTGACGTGCTCCAGAGCTGGTGTGACGCGCCCGTAGGTGCTGGGTCCCTGCAGAGCTCTCCACAGCCGGGGTTAGCCACAGCACACGTAGGGACCACGCCGCCAGGCAGGCTTGATGCTGCTAACCCCCTCCCCTTTGCCCTTAAACCGGGCAAAGCCCCCGTTGGCCGATGCGAGGTGGGAACCTCGGCGTTACCGAGCTTCGCGCGCCGCATCCGCCCCATGCATCGAGTCGCCGGTGGCTTCCTGCGACCCTCCGCAGAGGGTGATGTCCTGGGGTGCTTCTCGCCAGCCCGGTCGCACCTGGGATTACCGGCGTTGTGCAACGTGCCGGCCTTGCACATTCCTCCCAGGGCTGCTCAGGGCCGGGGAGGCTCACTGGCCTCGCAGGGACCGGTTTCGTTGGCACGGCGCTGAGCCGTGCGGTGGCACAGGTGGGGACCTGGACGTGGCTCTGGGTATTGCGGGACGCCGGGAGCTCCCGGGTGGTCTGTCGAGGAAGAGGAAGCATCCCCGCTGTGGCTGTGTCTAGCAGCCTCAGCTCCTCTCTTCTCTGTCGGTTGCTTCAGGACCCTGTTCTCCCCCTTTCTCCCTTCCTGACGTGCGCTGCAGCCCAACAGACCACCGCACGCTTTGGTCATGTTGGCATTAGGAAGTGTTTTCAGAGGGATGGCTTGCCCTGGCGCAGCGTAACTGGTCTTATCTAATAGTGGTAGCACTCGGACCCAAAGGACTTGTGTCTGCGGGTGTATCGGCGCAGCGGCCGTGCCCTCGGACATGGGTTTCAACACCCTGACGTCTCCCCAGGCTCGTTAATTGCCTTGTTTATTTGAGGTGAGGGCCTTCTCCTTCAGCCAGGAGTTGATAGGCATCAGCGCTCGAAGTGCGTCCTTCATCTCTCCTAATTGTACGTAATTAGAGCCGGTTGTCTAGTAATATGCTTGTTATGCAGTCGGGCCTTCATAGTTAGATGGACAATTCATCTGGTCTTGCGTATCTGAGGTGGGTACCTCACCTCCAGGGATGCCGGTTTCTCTCCACCGATGACTGAAGGAACTTGGATGACCTCAGACTTAAATGTCCCATCTTACAACCTCCATGTCCCATTGAAACCCTTAATGGCCCATCTTCACCAGCAATTTCCTCATCCTCCTAGTGATGCAACTCTCAGCCCGGGCTGAGAGTGGCCCCGTTGCTTCACCGGACATCCGATGTGCCTGCTGAGCCCTCAGGTCTAGGAGCGGCTCGGCCTCCCGGCAGCGACACGTGCGCTTGAGCGGCGTTGGGGACCTGAAGGTCTCTTGAGTGGGGCTTGGCGGTGGAGCGGGAGAGGCTGCTGCCTGGGAGTCAACGACCAAACTTTCTAACCCCAAAGTGGTGTTTTGCTCCAGCGATGGAGGAAGGCTCCCGCCCAGGGATGCTTTTGGGTTGGAGGAGTCCAAAGGACGTTGTGGTGGAGGAGACCACGCTTTGCAAACGCGGCTTCACAGCGCAGGAGCTTTGCTCCTCCTGCTCTCCGGGGCGACGGAGGGGCTGTACCGAGCCTGCTGAGTTACCTTCTCGTGTCATAGAATCATAGAATCGTAGAATCATTAAGGTTGGAAAAGACCTTTAAGATCATCGAGCCCAACCGTCGGAAGAAGAAGTGTCTTCACACTTCTCCTGCAAGAACGGTCCTGAGCCGTGCTTCACGGCTGTGGTTACGGCGGCGGAGAGGACCCACCGCGTGCAGGAAATGCCTCGGCGGGCCCTGCGATCCCGGCTCTGATGTCCCGCCACCGATCCCGAGTCACCGGCCGTTTAGTCATCGCCTGTCCGGACGCTCTATCTTGGAGGAACCTGCTGGGTTTGTTTAATTCCCCGACTGGGGCGGCTCGCCTGACCTGCCTTTCCCAGCCGCGTGCCGGATCCGTGCCGGAGCCCCAGGAGCTGCGAGGGGTTTCTGCCCGGGATGGGAGTCTGGTGGCGTTCCGCCGAGCTCCATCACGAGGCGTTTAATTGAGTGGTTCCTCCTCTTCATACTTCTCTTTGAACAAAGCGAGGTCTTAAGTTCAGCTTCCGTGCACGGGCTGTGTGAGGGAGCTCGGGGCTTTGCTTCCAGCTCATGTGCCCAAGTGGTTGGGACACAAACGCACCAGTGCGAGAGCACCGTCCCATCCCAGGTCAGCGGGCGCGGAGCTGCCTCTGACCAGCGGCACCAGCTTCTCCGGAGCTCCTGGAGCTCCGGTGACACTGCTTGGTCCCCCCTTGGCTCAGGGCTCT